TATAATCGCGTGACAATTTTTTCCAGATATTGTCTAGATACTTTTTTAAGAATATGTATCTTTTCTTGAAATCTCTGGAAATTGACTCTGGACACGTTATTTCAGATGTTTTTTGACTTCCCAATATGAAATCGGCAGGTGTTAAAACAGTGTCGATTCCGTCTTCTGAGACGTAGTTCAACGGTCTGTTGTTTAACATTCTCGCTATTTCACTTGTTAGGGTTGCCAATTCTTCATCGTTTAAAATAACGTCTATATTTGGTGTACTTTTGAAGATGGCTTTTTTGATTAGCCCTACAAAGATTTCAAAATGACCACCGAACCAAGCTGCTTTTGGAGGGTTGAAGGTCCAATTAATTTCTTTGTCTGCAAAGATGGCCTTCAACTTCTCCATTTCTCTGGCTATCTCCAGAAAATTTGAAGCATTGTCGGTGTTTATTATGTTTGGTGTACCAAACCTTCCTTGAAATCTTATTAGAGCTAAAGTTGTTGATTTTGTTGATTTATCAACTGTTACTTCTATGTGTATGGCCCTGGTGATCATGCATACAAAAACTAATAAGTATCTTGTGGCCATGTTGTCACCATTTTTAACGTTTAATGGTCCCATATTGTCGATTCCAACATGGGCAAACGGTGTCAAACGTCGCCGGCTATCAGGAATCCGCGAAAATGGTAACGGACCCATTTTCCTAGCGGTTGTTGCAGCAAATTTCTTTTTGCAGTAATTACATTCCTTGATGAGTTTTTTACACATAGATAGTCCTTGTATCACGCAATATTTTTGTTTCACTAGGTTCCAAAGAGCTTGATAACTTCCAAAATGATTATTTTCCATGTGAAAGTCGTATATCAAGCCTCTTGCAACACGTGACTTTTTTCCCAATATTACTGGGACTCGAATTTCTGGTGAGAGAAACGGTGTTGATTCAAGACGTCCAAACATCCTTATTACACCGTTTCGATCAAACCTTGGGGTTAACTGCAAAATGTTCGAGTCCATTTGATACTTTTTTGGTTGCTTTAAAGCCATTAGCACTTCGTTGAGAGAATCGGTTTGATCTTCCCTAATCAATGTCGTGCGTGCTTTTCTTAATTCGGATGGTTTTAGGTAAGACAAATCCAATAGTCGTTGAGTTGACTTCTTTGGATTTCTTAACCTCCTTTCATTGTTCGTCCATTTTTTGGACTGACAATTGTTTATAAATCTCCAACAATAAGCTACTATTCTGGTCATTTTTTTAAACGAATTGCATTTGATCATGATCTTGTACAATATCGGTTCAATTCGACAAGAAT